ACAGGTTATTATATCTTCTGAAGAATACAAACCTAAGCAGAAGGCCAGAGGAGCTCATCACACCATCAGAATATGATCAATGTAGTTTTTTAATGTCCCTGTTTAGTTTCCATAGCTTACAGTAGAATGTATAAAACCTTTCTAAAACAAAAAAGGAAAAATTAAAACTTTTCAGTGCTTTCTTTGCTTCCTCAGTGATCAACAATGTGTGTTCTAGAATGTTTAGAGTACGGTCCTTAGTGGACTCACTGGTCAGGACCGTGTCAGCTCCACAGCAGTTCTGAACCTGGTACTCTCACTGGCGGGTACAAGAACAGTGTTAAATGTGCTAATGTTTTAAAAACAATCAATATGGAGAACCCATCCCTTTGGAGGTAGAAAAACTGAGGCACAGAAAGGTTAAGTGACACCCATATTTGCACAATTCAGGAGAAAATAAAAGAACAAATAAATCCTTCTCCCTGGTTCATGCTCTGAGCCCTGGATTATGCTTTTTTTCACACTGGGTACATGTGAAATAGATTTTTTACATGATCATTGTTCTACTGAATACCAACTTTTTATTAGGAAACATTTTTTGGATGTAAAGAAACTAATTTTCTTAAAATATCATTTTTGTTGCATTTAACAGCATGTGAGAAATGTGCATAAAAATAAATGAGTAGTGATAACAGGCCAAATTCTCATTCCTGTTCTTAAAATTCTCAATCTTTTCAAGTATGCAATGGAAGTGTGAGAATCTGGCCAGATGTGAAAAATCACCTATAAACTAAAGGATACCTGTACTCGTTGAGTCAACTCATAGCGACTCTATAGGACAAAGGAGAACTGCCCCATAGGGTTTCCAAGGCTGTAATCTTTACAGAAGCAGACTGCCACTTTTTCTCCCATGGAATGGCTAGTGGGCTCAAACTGCCAGCCTTCTGGGTAACAGCCAAGTGCTTTAACCACTGTGCCATCAGGGCTCCTTAAGCTAAACAACAGCAAAAACCAAACCTATTGCCGTCAATTCCAACTCACAGCAACCCTACCGGACAGAGCAGAACTGCTCCACAGGGTTTCCAAGGCTAAGGATAGACCTTGAAAATTCACCTTCAGTACAACTGTAATGTGTAAGTGAGGAATACAGAAAATTGAGGTATTTTATATGATAAACTGTCTTAGAAGTACAACCAGAATGCTCCTTAGAAGCCAGGATGGTGAGACTACGTCTCACATCCTTTGGACAGGTTATCAGGAGGGATTAGTCCCTGGAGAAGAACATCATGCTTGGTAAATAGAAGGTCAGCAAAAAATAGGAAGACCCTCAATGAGATGGACTGACACAGTGGCTGCAACAATGGGCTCAAGCACAGCAACAACTGTTAGGATGGTGCAGGATGGGACAGTGTTTCATCCTGTTGTGCACAGGGTCGCTGTGAGTTGGAACCAACTTGACGGCACCTAACAACAACCACATATGGTAAACTGTCTTACGATGTGACTGGTATGCAAATTGATCTTCTCTTTTTCCAACTCAAGTTATGGATATGAGGAAAACAAACGAAAATTAGCACGGTCCTTGAGATGAAGATCAATAAATACTAAGGATGTTAAATGTTAAATGTTAACGTTACATTTTTTGTCCCTGAGATGGCCTGTTTGATGGGTGAATTACTTCCTTCTTGCAGACACGCTGAGGACAACTCTTTCAGACCACTGACACTAATCCACACAGTCTTGAAAAGATTTTAAACTTAACTGTTCCTCTCTTACTATTTTCCTACTCAGTCACAGGAAGCCAAAGTCAGGATCAGGTAAACATCTGAGAAAATGTGATGTGTGTGCCTCTGTAAACAATCAGAGCATTTCCCCAGCTCTTCTAGAACTAGTTGAGCAGCTCGGAAAAGAGAGGCATCGCCCAGCAAGAACTATGTACCACAGTGGGGCCTCAGTGGATCAAGCAGCTCATCCACACCTGAGAGATGCTGCATCTCCAGTGCTTTCCAGAGGTCTAGGAACGAAGAGGAATAAGGAAGCTGAAAAGTGACTGTACATTTTAATACTGCACTCTTCTATCAGAAACAGACATGAAACCCAAAAAAGAAGAACAAAGACCAATATATTGCTGCTGGGATGAATTTTTGGAAATAAAAATGAGTATAACAAATTGGCTTGAAAGTAAGAACTGAAATATTTCTGACCACTGTACAAAGAGCAGCAAACTAGATTTCACTAACATTCCATACGAAAAGACCACCATAATTACAATATGAGTGAGGAGCAAGGCCGCTAGTGGGCCAGGGGTAGCGATCCTTCCTCCAGGGAACCTATTCCTAGAGATGGAGGGGTCATTCAGCACAGCAAATGTTCCAGGAGATCTCTCAAATAGGCCCAACACTTGATTAACGAGCAGGACGGGAAGCAATCTTTAAATGCAAAGATTCAGATGAGGAAATAAGGCATTGTCCAAGTAGGAGAAGAGAGAAATGGGCTATTTAAACATCAATAGAAATTGTGATTTTAAAAAAAAAATACGTTTAGAGGAAGCTTTACAGAAGGTTTATAGAAATAAAATCCAAAATATGGTAAAATAATGCAAATGTTTCACACGTATTTACTTTTAGAGAGACCAACAAGAGACTCCTCCTCATTCTAGGCCCTCTCCCAAAGCTCTCACTTAGAAAGGTTTTAGTTAGAACTGTAAATCCTATAATCCTTCACTTTTATATTTTTCTCTGCATTTCCAAATGAATTATGAAAACATGAATTTATAAAATAAATATTCAAATCAGAAGTTATATACTCTATGTTAAGCTTGATTATCTAGTCATACTAATTACTCTGAGGCTAGGGTCACAAACTTGAAATACAACGAATGATATAAACTTTGTTCCACCGGAATAAAAGTGTATCTTACCAGTGTAATTTGCTGAATAGTGTAAGTCTAGGAGAGTCTAACTGTGCCCAGGACAAGTCACCCTTAATAAGAGAAGAGCTATTAATACTTTGAGATTTTCTTTTACTCTAAAAAAATCATATGGAAGATCATCCAGAAAGATATCACCTCTTAATATCCAGGGTATAACTGTGAAATAAAAATATAATAAAGTACAATGATAGATGCATTTACACTGAGCTTCACATGTAAGTTCTATCAAACTTAAATGATAATTTTCATAAGACACATGAACTTCCTCATTATACAGCCACATGTATTTTTTGAAAATCTCAAAATCCTTACCTAGAAAAATATTCTTATGTCTATTAAAAGTATATTGATACTGCTACACTATATTTTTAGAAAGTTCAGTTTGATAAATTATGTCCTGTATTCCTAAAAATACTGATGATTAAAAGCAAGCCTTCAGGAACTGCTAAAAACATCAATGAACATTTTGGGCATTTATTAACTATCAGTTAACTTAAGATTTAAAATCTTTCCCAAATAATTTTGTTGTTGTCATTAGTCACAAATCACTGACAACCCATGATTATTACTGTAGTTCTAATTTATAAAGGTTTTTTTTTTGCTCTATGTTAAACTATTCTCATTTTGTTTAGCTTCTTTGTTCAACACTTTAGGGAAATATTCTTTGAGTCTTTACTTTAGAAATGTTCTTTTTGCCTAGAAAAATGCATTCTTTTCCTTAGTGAGTAACTTTAGTTGGGTTTTATTAAATGTCATGTCATTTCTACTTCATGGTAATCTACCCAATCCCATCTTTCAATTTAGCATATTTCCCTATTTAGATAAAATATAGCACATGAAGTACATGAAATATTTGTATCACTTTGTGCACATGAAGGTCACTATAGACAGAAGAATGGTCTCTGATCTAAATATTGGCATAATTAGTCATTACTTTGCATTTAGGAAGTTTAGTGAGAGTTTGAATGAGGAATTATAGGATGTTGCTTCATCTGAAACAAGGAAATGGGTAAATTATTTTCATTTTTGCTAGTAATTCTTTGGAAAAGTCACTATCACAGCTATGTGTGTTCCAATTTGTAGAAACTAGCTTAAGCCTAACTGGGTCCTTCAACTAGTTCCTGTACTGACTTGCTCTCCTGACAGAGAAGTCAATATGTGTGCTATTTTACAGTTACTCTCTCGTCTAACAGCCTTATTATCAAGTTATTTATTCTTCTGACTGGCCATCTAATCAAAAGCCACAATGCTTGCTGAAAGATAACGTGGATATATTTGATACGGGATCCCAGTTACATAGATAGAATGCAAATAAAATACTTCGTGCTACTTAAATCAATGGCCTTTCACTGGACAATAACTACATGCTAAAAGAGCCAGTTTCCTCTAATGTGTCTTTAGTCTTGACTATCTTCCGAAGAATATACTATTATTTCTAACTGCTATACACACTTATCATTTAAATACTGAAATATGAAAGTATAATCAAGGAAGCTGCATTACTCTAAGAGAACATATACACAGTAATAGTCAAATTACGTGAACAGTTCGAGTGATAAAGGCACTGAAATTGATTTGAGCTATTGAAAGTCATCCTTAAATAGATATTGAATCATGTCCATTCACTCTTCTCTATTTGCTATTAAAATGTCTTCAGGATGGGGGGCGGGGCAACTCATTTAGAGGATTAAAAACAAATGTGTATACCTCTTATTTGGATAAGGTACCTGTTATGGCTTGAATTGTGTCCCCACAAAACATGTGTTGTAAATCCTAACCCCTATACCTGTGGTTATAATCCCATTTGGGAATAGGCTGTCTTTGTTATGTTACTGAGACAGGATTAGTACAGGGTTTGTCTTGAGTCAATCTCTTACAAAATATAAAAGGAGCAGACTAAGCAAGCAGAAATGGGGGAAGATAGATGTCAAGCCACATGGAGATCTCCAAGGAACCAAGAAACAGAAGCTGAAGAGAGAAGGACCTTTCCCCAAAGCCAACAGAGACAGAAAGCCTTCCCCTAGAGCCAGTACCCTGAATTTGGACTTCTAGCCTCCTAAACTGTGAGAAAACAAATTTCTGTTTGTTAAAGCCATCCTCTTGTGGTATTTCTATTATAGCAGCACTAGATAACTAAGACCTGAATGTTATACATGCTTAATGCAAAATAAAACAACTACCAGAGCATTTACTGTACAGAATCAGATTTCAAAACAACTTCCGCATTTCCAAAGTAATCCGAGTAAGAGTATCTGTTCCTTTACAAAAACTAACCAGAAAGAGGCCATCTTTACTTTGTTTAAATCATGTTAAAATGCTTTAAAAGAAAAGAGTATTCATGAAAGCTTCCAGGTTAACGAGAATGAAAATTTGAGATTCCTCTCATTAGAGAGATGACACCCAGGCAACCTTTCAGCAACTCCAGGTTCCAAAGGACTGGGCACCCACTGTGGTGCTGAGTAATGCTTTGCTGCAAGCGGTTTCAGGGTGTGGGCATCTGTCCTGGTGGATCATTCATTATGGGCAACTCTAGTATCAGTTATTTGGAATCTCTTCCACTTCACATCAAATTAGAACCAGAAACTATATCCATTTACTGTTCCTCAAGCCACCCAACACCTGTTTCATCCTAGTCTGTTTTCATATTAGATTTGTTCATCTCCCCAATGTTGAAATTGAACTCTTTGAACACCTGTATAAGGACAATCCCGACAGAGACAGTCGTGAACCCACAGGCCATCCCCAAGAAGTCCACTAGACCCACGTTGCTCCACTCCCGGAACAGGATGGCTGAGGCCAACAGGACCAGTGTGGTGAACACGACGTAGTAGATGGCCCCAAACACTGAGGAGTCAAAGCACTCCAGTGCCTTGTTGATGTACCTGAACTGGATGATGATGCTGCAGCCAAGCACGGCCAGGAGCACCAGGCACAGGCAGAGGGCTCTCTGACTAGATGGGTTGTTGTGGAAGATGTCTTGGGCTGCCAGCCCAATGCCCTTGGTGGAAGGCACGGTGAAACTCCCCAGCAAGGAGCAAATGCTGATATAGACCATGATGTTGGTGGGCCCGTGGGCTGGTGCAATCCAGAAGATGAGGAGTAGCAGCATGAGGAGCACGATGCACAGGTAGCCCACAAACACTGGAACACAGATGGCAGATGGTGACCCTGGGCAATAACCCAGACACCGTGACCCAGGGGGTCCCCCATCACTGTCTTTCTTGGGGTGACTTGCTCCAGAAGGCAGGGTCTGGCCTGGGCTTGGGGCAGGCAGGCACCCTAGTATTCTGGGTTGAGTTTACCAGATTCACTGATTTCACTCCACAAAAATTATTCTCACCATTATTTTCACCATGAAAACAGTCATAGCTCCTAAATGTTTCAATATCAATAAATAAGTCCTCTACTTATGTTGTGCGCCATGGAGTTGATTTCAGCTCATACTGACCCCGTGTGACAGAGCAGAACCGCCCTATAGGGTTTCCTAGGCTGTAATCTTTACAGCAGCAGATCACCAGGTCTTTCTTCCAGTGGAGTCACTGGTGGGTTGGGACCACCAACCTGTTGGTTAGCAGCGAAGCACTTAACCATTGTGCCACTAGGGCTCCTTAAGTCCTCTATTAGTAATAGTAAATATCAACTTAGATGCTTTAAGGTTAAAAAAAAAAGAAAAAGCCATTCACAAGATGTATTTTCTTAGTTTAGACAGTCAATTAAACAAACCTTTTACTGAATGCCTATCATAGGCAGATAGGGGACCTGGCCAGTGGGGGCAGGAGGATAGGTGGGAAAGCTGCAGGGGGTATCTGTGACTGCTGCAATAACTGGGGGCTGCCTACAGTGGGCAGAGGCAAGGAGCACTGGTTGTGCAGACAGTCCCACACGAGAAAAAAATCACCCTGTTCTCACAACTTCTAAATATCTCCTTGGACTTGTCAGTGAAAAATGTTTATAATAATCAGAACCTAGAACTTACTTTATGTATTTAAAAAACGTTTTACATGAATATATAATCAATTTTTCAGAAGTGTAACTTCCCATGTAAGTTAAGGGAAGATTGTTCTTTCTTTAATCAGAACTTCATCAAGAGTGATTCTTTAATCTGTGCAGCATCTCACAACATGAATGAATCTGGAGGGCATTAGGCTGAGTGAAATAAGTCAATCACAAAAAAACAAATATTATATGAGACCACTACTATAAAAACTCGAGAAAAGGTTTACATGCTAAAAGAAACAATCTTTGATGGTTACAGGGGAGGCGAGGGGTGGAGGGAAAAACACTAAATAGACAATAGTTAAGTGGTAACTTTGGTGAACGGTAAGACAGTACACAATACTAAGGAAGCCAGCACAACTTGTCCAAGGCAAGGTCATGGAAGCTCCACAGACACCAGCAAATTCCCTGAGGGACCAAATTACTGGGCTGAGGGCTGTGGGGACCATGGTCTTGAGGACTATCTAGCTCAATTAGCATAACATAGTTTATAAAGAACTATAAAAGATGCTACTTTGGTGAGTAGCATCTGGTGTCTTAAAAGCTTGTGAGAGGCCATCTAAGATACTCCACCGGTCTCACCCCATCTGGACCAAGGGAGAATGAAGAAAACTAAAGACACAAAGGAAAGATTAGTCCAAAGGACTAATGGAACACATCTACCACAGCCTCCACCAGACGAAGTCTAGTACAACTACATGGTGCCTGGCTACCAACACCGACTACTCTGACAGGGATCACAAAAGAGGGTCCCGGACAGAGCTGGAGAAAAATGTAGAACAAAATTCTAACTTACAAAAAAGATCAGACTTACTGGTCTAACAGAGACTGGAGAAATCCCAAGAGTATGGCCTCTGGACACCCTTATATCTCAGTACTGAAGTCACTCCTCATGTTCACCCTTCAGCCAAAGGTTAGACAGGCCCATAAAACAAAACAAGACTAAACGGGCACACCAGCCCAGGGTCAAGGACGAGCAGGCAAGAGGAGACAGGAAAGCTGGTAATGGGGAACCCAAGGTCGAGAAGGGGAGAATGTTGACATGTTGAGTTGGCAACCAATGTCACAAACTGTTTAATGAGAAACTAGTTTGCTCTGTAAACCTTCATCTAAACTACAATTTTAAAAAATTGACCAAAAAAAAAAAAAAAAGTAATTCTTTATTTCAGAGGATCGCATTGCTGATGGCAAGACGCCCTTTAGTGTTTGAGTCAGTAACTGGACATCCCATGTCAGTTTGTATTTGCAGCTGCCAGATTCTCATTGACTTCTCATGTGGTATAGGGTCTGCCTACTTCAATATGTCTTCTCATGTAGTTAGAGGCCCTGGTGACACAGTGATTAAAGCACTCAGCTGCTAACCAAAAGGTCAGCAGTTCGAACCCACAAGGCTCTCGGTGGGACAAAGATGTGGCAGTCTGCTTCTGTAGAGATTACGGCCGAGGAAACCCTGTGGACAGTTCTACTCTGTCCTATAGGGTTCCTATGAGTCAAAATCGACTCTAAGGCAGTGGGTTTGGTTTTGGTTTTTTGGTTTTCAGTGTATGTATTGAAACGCATACTTTATGTAAAGTGCCATCCTGCTATTTCTCCTTTATATAACAGTTAGGATATTTTATTGGTTGCTTTGAAACTATGTGTACAAGGAGGTTGTATTTTCCCTAAATTTCATTCCCAGATCATAAAGGGAGTGCTAGGTATAGGGGCTGACAGCGCTGGAAACAGAGCTTGGCAAACTCAGTAGGTGTGGATATGCAAACCAGCAGGGAGGCCATGGGAGGTTCCCTCCCAAAGGAGATGAAGAGGAACTCTGGAGACTCTGATGAAGGGTGGGGGGCATCCAGGAAGACTCCCCAGGGGGAGGAGACACTGGAATGACAGCTGAAAGAAGTCTGGGAGCCTGACCAACAAACGTGAGAAAGGGCAATGGTGGGCAGAAAGGTCAGCATGTCTACAAAGGGCGTGGGGGCGGGCGGTGGGGAGGAGAGAATTAGAAGCAGTTTGAAAGCAAGTGTGCAGCTTAGTAGTAAGAAAAGCAGCTTTGCCTGAGTGTAGAGCGGTTTGGGCTTTCTCTCAAGGGAAGAGGGAGTCGCAAAGGGCTTTTAAGCTGGGAAAGGATAATCCAGACTACATTTCAGGAGGGTCCCAGGCAGTAAGATGGCTGGAGGTGGCTGTGGGCAGCCGAGATGGGCAGGAAAGAAAAGGTGACCAGCCAACCATGCTGGCAAGGAGGGGACTGGAGGAGGGAGATGACAACAACATGCCCTAGAGACTGTTGGTAAAAATTGGGCTGCTCCAAAAGGAAAAGCTAGACCAAAGAATACTATTTTCAGTGAGCAATCTTCATTTCTTATTTTATCTTTAGTAAAAGCAGCCAGATGGCTGTCAGCTTTGTGACTGCTACTTTGCATCAGTATTTCTCAACTTTTTTTCCCCATCATTATCCTCATCAGGAACCATTTTAGACAGTAATTTCCTAACTGCCCACCCTCAAGAAATTTTACCACCACAGATAAACTGTATATCTGTTTATGTACTGTATGTGTATCTGTGCTTTATACATAAAAAGAGTAAGATTTTTTTACCCCCAACAACCACTTTTTGGTCTCTTGGATGACATCTTCCCCACTGAGAATGAGTTTTATATTACTGTATTCTCTTCAGAGAACTTTCCTTCTAGCCTTTCCTGTCCTTCTCCTCTCTGAATTTTAGAGCTCATGTATCAGGAGTTTGAGGAATATAAACAAATGCTGATTTTAAATTTTTCTGAGACAGTTACTTGACAAGAATTCATTCCAGTGCTTTTACCTTTTAAAAAAATAAGAAGAAAAAAAAAACCCCTTCTAATATATTAAGTGAGTAGAATAATGCCATTTTATATTCTAGGTAAGAAAACCAAAAGTTTTTCATGTTGAAAAAAAAACTTTTTTTGCTACCATTATTATCTTCATGAAAATTTTTATGGTGCTATTCAAATGAGACATGTTTTTGTATAAATAGTAAGTTATGACTGGATATATCAGTATCTCCCACATTCATCAAAAAGAAGCACTTGGTCTCTATACATTTGCTTATTTTAAGTTTTCATTATTAGTGAAATCATACTATATTCGTCCTTTTGTGTCTGACTTATTTCACTCAGCATAATGTTATCCAGGTTCATCTATGTTGTCAGATGTATCAGGACTTCATTTCTCTTTATGTCTGGTTACCAGGGACAGAAGGGAAAGGGAAAGAGAGAAATCTTTGTCTAGCTAGCATAAAGTTTTTATTTATGGGGATGGATATTGGTGATGTCTGAACAACATGATTGATGTAATTGGTTTCAATGAATTGTATAAGTGACAAATGTTGAACTGGCAAACGTGTTATCTATATTTTTTACAATATAAAAAATGCAAACAAACAAAAAAAAGCACTTGGAAGGTTCTTTTGAAATTTAAAAAGAGTAGTCCTTTAGGACACTCAAATCTAGTTCTCAGATCTTTATTCATGTCTTTGTACTCTTTCATTTCTCACAATACTGGAAATATTTTGGTTTTTATGGAAGTGAATATCATAATAATAACTTTAGGGATAAAAAATTACACGGAGATATAGCCTTGGCTAATTTCACCATGAATCGCTTTTTAAAATTTTACCCACGTCAGTTGCTATGCCAGTCACTGCTCCTTGAGAGGTACAAAATGATGGTCGATTTTTGTGTAATGGAGACATCTGTATTTGGACAGCGGTAGGGAGGTAGTTGTGTGCTAGCACCCATCTAGAATTGCTGGTGGTCTGTCGTTGTTGTGTGCCTTACAGGAGATTCCCACTCATAACGACAGAGTAGAGCTGCCCCATAGGGTTTCCGAGGCTGAAATCTTTACAGGAGAAGATCGCTAGGTCTTTTCCCTCGGAGCTGCTGGTGGGTTCTAACCACCCACCTTTCAGTTGGAAAACCAGTTTAACCGTCCTGCCACCAGGGCTCCTTGGTGGTGGTCTACCGGAAGTAATTTAGTAAAAACCTATGCTTTAAGGCCAACTTTATTACGTAGATATTATTTTTTTTTATTGCATGTGTCAAAAACAATAAGTTATGATAGGTCAAAAATAAATACAGGCCCTGGGGGTGCAGTGGTTAAGCTTTGGCTGCAAAGGTCCGCAGTTCGAATCCACCAGCCCCTCCTTGGAAACCCTATGGGGCAGTTCTACTCTTTTGTCCCATAGGGTCGCTATAAGTCGGCATCAACTCTACCAACTGGTTACGGGTGGAGAGAGACAAACGAAACCCAGTTTACGCTCTCAAAGAGCTTCAAATCTGAGAGAAACACGGCTGTGCAGGCACACAGGCATCACAAAGGAGGAAAGCGATGACGTCCGGGGGAAGCACAGGTCTGTCAGGATGGGGCCCGCCACAGTGTGTGCAGAGGGGAGAGCGGGCTGGGGTGGGTGACCCTAGAGGGAGAACAAGAGCAAGGCTGGGACAAGCAGGTGCGCTCACGCACAGACCTGCCTGCGTCTTCACAAACTGGCAGTCGGCAAAGCGCACAACGTGCATGCTCCTAGGCTGGGAGGCCCGGGCTCACAGGGCTGGGCTCGTGGAAGGGCATAGCTTTTTGCAGAGGGAGGGCGGGCCGGCTTCGGACTCCAGAGGCTGAGGGAACTGCGGGGAAAGGGGCACTGGACAGGTGCAGGACAGGTGCAGGCCGGAAAGGTTCTAGAAGGAGCAAGCAGGGGCCTCCTGCCTGGCGGGGGGGTTAGGAAGAGAAGTCTACCAGCAGAGGGATCAGGAGGAGGGATGGGAGAGAGGACAAACAAGTAGGGAGGCCTTTTAAGAAGCTAAAGGCGCAAGAGGCTAAAGAGGAACCCGTGCAGGGGGAAAGAGCTGGGAGAAAAGGTGTGACAGCTTCCTCTCAGACACTGATTGGGAGGTGTCCTCCAGGTGTTCAGTAGTGATCACAAATGCAGAACAGGGACCCAAATAGACTCGCTCTGGCTCCTTCCCAGGCTCCTGAGGCACCTCCAGAAAGGAGTCCAGAGTGACTCCTCACACACCAGAAGGAGAGAGCTGAAGATGGGAAGCCTGCAGTTGAGTGTACATGATGAAAATAAGACGTTTAATAACAGATGAAAGAGTAGATCAAACGGTTCAACTAAACCTCCAGGAAGTATCACAAACAGAGTTTTAAAAAGTCTAGATTCCTGGTGCCTTTCTTGGCAAGCTTTCCTGGCAGTGTTGCTAAAAAGGAATTACCTGGATTGGTCAGCTTCTCCTCCAGCTCAGCCTGAGTCGTCACACTCTCAGATTTGGGGGAGTGGATAATCAGCACGACAGAACCCGCACAGCTTAGCAGACACCCCAATTTGCCCAAAATGTTGAGCTTTTCCTTCAGAAGATAAGAAGCTAAAATGGACCTTCAATAATAAAAAGATATGGTTAAAGTTTAAATCAAATGATCTGATCTGTTTTTACTTATTGCAGATACTTTTCTTTATAGCTATTTTAATTATTTTTAATCAATTTTGAAGAACAGATTAGGAATATTTATTGAAGTGGTTATTTCAACACAAACAGGATTTCATACCAAATCCATGCATAGCCAGTACACAGTTAATGACACTCTTAACTCATACCATTATTTCGGTATTTATGAAATATACCAGAGTAGAAAAAAAGTTTGATTGACAAAAAAATAAAAATATTGGGAAAGCAGGATACAAAAATTGTTAAGATAATTACATGTAATGCATGATCACAAGTGTTAAAAAATGCACAAAAAGAAGAAAATACAAAAACGCTAAGAGTAATTGCATTATGGTAGGAGTATGGGTGATTATTTTTCTCTTCTCTAATGCCCGAAACTTTTCAATTATGGTCATGTCACTTTTTTAATGAAAAGAAGTGTCTTTTATGAACTATCTATAACCCTAAAGCTTGCAGTGTGTCTCCTCTCCCCCTGATGGCGTTAGTAGATGTTAATACACTCTGCGTAACGCCAGTATACAATCGGACTGGAGAACCTAGGCTGTCAGTAACTTACAGGACTGCTCACTCTGCGTAACGCCAGTATACAATC